TTTGGATATACCTCGCGAGGTTGTCCTCTCTCCTAGAAATTCCAGAAAAGTTGTGCTATCAGTTTATACTGACTGGTAAACCCAAACGTTTTAAAATTGACCTGCATGTTGATTGTTTTTCTTTTTTTTTTTCTTTATAGGAGAAAATTAAGCAGCGTCCAATGGGCGTCTTTGCTGATTTTATTCTTATCAATCGTTTTGCTCTCAAATGAGAAGAAAGAAATCGAACATTCACACCACCGGCGAATCATCGGCGACTTCTTACCAGCCGAAGTACAGTCGACCTTAAACGGACACGAATCGGACGCTTGTCGGGAGGCACGACGAACTCCGGGCTCGCGAAATGTCACCGAAGCTGTCGAAGAGAAACCAGGCATTTTTCGAGGAAGTCAAGGACACATTCTGGTCCTAGCACAGTGTGTACTGTCCTCCTCAGCGAATATTTACAACGAGAAGATCTTCAAAGAGGGCCAAGGAATGGAAGAAAGCATACTCTTGCAAAACACAAAGCTGTACATGTTTGGCGTCTTTTTCAACACCGTGACGTTACTTCTCAGGCCCGAGTTTCGTTATCACGTCGTAAACTGCGGGCTTTTCTATGGTTATAACCGTCACGCAACGTTACTCATTGTTGTTACGGCTTTTTTTGGATTGACCGTAGCACTGATTCTGAAATTCAGAGACAACATGTTCCAAGTGATGTCCAATCAGCTGACCAATGTCGTCATGATTACGTCATCAGTTTTTTTCCTGGACTTTCATCCGACGTTGATGTTCTGTCTGACAGCGCCCGTGGTGTTGTTGGCGATTTTTATTTTTAATGTAGGCACCAAGGCCGAGGTGGTATCACCAAAAGAAAAAATAGACACCCAGATATGAGAGAAAGAAATACAACAGTCATTAAAATAAAGATTAAGATCAGCAATTATAGAGTGGTTTCCAACTGAGTATCGAAAAATTAAACCAAAGTTATCACTTAAGCCAGTCACAAAGGACATAGACAGTACATTGAACCAATCAAAACTCGAAGTGATTACATGTAGCTGATGCGAAGCGCGGGAAAACTTGTGCGAACAAGTCACGATTGGGTTTGGCTTTACTTCTGATTGGATGAAAATTGGCGAGAGTTTTTAAGCCAATCGTGTTGCGTAGTAACTGCAAAACCAATTACTCTTCGACACTCAAATGAAAACCGCTCTATGATATTGAAATAGTTTATGACAAACTTTACTATAGCGCCAAAGAAATGCATAGCAACCAGAGCTGGGAATCTCCCTGTTGATATTACAGCCAGTTATTCAATATATCTTTTAACTGATGAAACGTTTTTAGTGATATGGGAGTTTGACTTAAATCAGAGACAAAAGCTGAGGACACAAAGAATGTAAAAAGAAAACTCACCGAGAACGGTTACAAAAATTAAAATCAAAATTTGATCACGGTAATTCTAGATTGGTTTAGGCCCCGACCACATTAATGCGTAATCGTGCGAAAACGCAGACTTTTTGACGCGTTTTTGCCTATCGTCCACACTAAAATGACCGAAAACAGTGTTGAAAATGGAGGCTTTCGAAAACGGTTTCACGAGTGGAGCGTTTTTAAAAAGAATCGTTTTGAAAACGCTCCGTTTCTAGTGTGGATAGGAGAAAACGGAGGCTTCTGAAAACGGTGCCGAAAAAGCGTCAACGGTTTCCATCAGCGTTTTCGAGCGTTTTAGCGTGGACGGTAGACGAAAACGTATCAAAAATTATGCGTTTTCATACGACAGGTGAAAACAACACCGAAAACGCTAGGGTGGGCGAAAATATTTTGCTTCGTTTTCGTC